GGCCAGTGGGAGAAAGTTCCCGGTGTTCTTCTGGAAGTAGGCCTCGTAGGAGATGGGATCAAACTCCGTGACAATATTTTTCTCGAAATCCATCCGGAGGCCCAGAACGGTCCCGTCCTCCTCAAAAGACTTGCGTGTGTAGGAACAGAAGAGATTCCTCTCGAGCAACACATTGTTGGATTCCATAAACTCTTTCATACTCCCGTATGCAACCGTCAACTGTATAATGGCCTGGTCGTTAACTTTGCTCAAAACCCCTCTCATAGTATCATCATCCAGCTTTTCAAGCAAAGAATGCGCGGATTCTCCTGCCTGGTCACTTGAAATACCACCAACTTTCTCCTCCGCCACCTTTGTAGTCGTATCTATCGGATTCAAAGCCGGGAGATCCTGATCGAAAAACCCACAAATCCCACAATAGTACTTGCAGTTCATCCAGCTCAAATCTTTTGCAGCATACTCCACCATGTCATAGGGTTCCGATTCCCGCTTTGCGATGAAATCACTCGAGACCAAGCACAAGAGCTGGAGGAACAAGTACTTGAGCCTATAAGCGGGAGTGTACTCCGAATCGAAACCATCACAACGAACATTGCCACTGGTGATATTAGGGTGGCAGATCATGGATTGCATGGTCACCCTTGGAGGATGATCGGGATAGGATTTCGGAATACGGACATCCAAGTGAAACCTGTGACCCGCAAATGGACCACTAATGGGCGATAAAACCAAACACATATGCTGTAAGTTACTACCATCATGGATGTGGATACGAATTCCTTCCAGCGGCTCCCTCTCGATATCCTCGAGCTCTCGCCATAGTCGAGCGTGTCCCAAATCCATGATTACAAACCTAAACTGCGATGGATTCACTTAAAATTAGTATACAACTTTTCTAGCTTGTTTTTAATGTGTTTTCCAAGGCCAGAGTGTTTGAAAGAAGAATGTAAGCAGAGCCAGCTTCAGGTCCTACCACAAGCGCATGTTTTGCAGCAGAAACCCCGTGCCGAACATCAAAGTGAACAGAGCAAGCTCCGAGAAACGCTCTCCAGGCCTGTCCATCGGGATCATCCATGGCCACCGTTAAGTCTTTCGCGTTCCTCAGCTCTCCTGCTCGTCCAAAGCTCGCAGCAAGCGCTCTGTAGTGATCCTTTTGCGGCAGAATGCCATGATCCATCTCCATGCATGTAAACTTTTGCAGACCCTCGCGAACTAGACCAATGTGGGAGCAAGCAGCAAGAACAATCACGTAAGTCTTTCCATCCGGATCAAATCCTTCCAAACACATGATCTTAAAGATCTCGATGGCTTCCCTACAAAAACCATAGCGAGCATACATGGAAGCAACCACATTCCACGAGCACAAATCCTTTCTAGGCATGGAATCAAAGAGTTTCTTGGCCCCGCAAACTCGACCATTGTCGGCATAAGCAGTCACGATTGACGTCCACGCCACTACATTCTTGTTTGGCATGGAATCAAACGTTTGCTTGGCCTGCTCAATCTTTGTTTCTTGGGAGAACGCAGAGATCATCAAAGTCCACGAGAACTCGTCCTTGAGAAACTCCGGCATGGCATCAAATACCTGGCAAGCCTCTTCTAGCTGAGACCTTTGAGCATATGCTTGAATCATACAGTTCCAGGACACCGTGTCCCGGCATGGCATCTTCTCAAAGATGTCTTTCACATTTTCGATTCCAGCGTTTTGGGAGTAAGCGGCCATCATGGAGTTCCAGGAGAAGAGATCTTTCTCGGGCATTCGATCAAACATCTCCTTTGCCTTGTCTAGACCCTTACACTGCGAGTAAGCTGCCAACATCAAGTTCCATGACACTCCATCGCCCTTTGGAATTCTCGAAAACAATTCCTCGGCCTCTTTCAAAAGCCCTTCCTTCTTGTAGCCAGACATCAGAGCATTCCACGTTGTCACGTCTTTCTCAGGCATTGAATCAAAGAACTTCGTTGCATCTTCGAGCCTTCCGTACCGTGCATACGCTGCCACCATCGCATTTTGGGCCACGAGGTCTTTGGCCGGGCTCCGGTCGTACAGATCCTTGGCCTGATCCAAATCCCCATTCTTGGCAAGCGCTACTATGATTGTTGTCCAAGAGATCTCATTCCTTTCAGGCATGCTATCAAACACCTTTTTTCCGCCACCTAAATTTCCGTTTGATAGATAAGCTGCCACCAGACTCGTCCATGTCACAACGTTTCTTTCTGGCATATTGTCAAAGACAGACTGAGCATCTTCCAGGTGCCCATTACCGGCATTTGCTTCGATTAAGCACGTCCAAGTAGCGGCATTTCGAGAAGGCATTCTCTCAAACAATCCCTTTACCTCATCAAGCTTACCCTCTTCGACGTAAGCATGCATGATGGTGTTCCACGCAACCACATTCTTTGAGGGCATCTCTTCGAAGAAACGTTTTGCTTCTTCCAGATGCCGGTTATGGGCATATGCAGATAACATAGCATTCCAAGTTACCTCATCACGCTCGGGCATTCTTTGAAACAGTTCTTCAGCATATTCGACGTTACCAGAATACGTACTAGCGGTTATTAGGGTGTTCCATGTTACTAGGTTATGCTTTGGCATAGTGTCAAACTTTTGACAAGTGCACAAAAAATTCCCAGTTTGGGCATTTGCTGATAGTAAGCTGTTCCAAGAGATTATGTCCCATTCGGGCATAGTGTCAAAGATTCTTTGAGCATCTAAAGATTTTTCATGTTGGGCATAGCAAGATGTTATGGTGTTACCCATTAGCACGTCCCAAACTGGAGTAGAGCAGTAGAGATCTTCGGCGAGATCAACTTGCCCACAATTGGAGTACGCGAGCATCATCGACGTCGCAGAGAGCGCATCTCTCTCCGGGATCGCGTCAAAGAGCCGCTGCGCGCGCTCAAGATCCCTGTCCTGTGCAAACATGCTTATCATCGAATTCCACGAGACAATGTCCGGCGATGGGATCTCCGCGAACAATCTCTCCGCGCTCGCGATTTCCCCCCTCTGCGCGTACCCCTGGAGCATCGTGTTGAAGGACGCCGTCGCCCTCTCCGGCATCGCGTCGAAGATCTCTCGCGCCGCCGCCAGATCGCCGCCCCGGACGAGCGCCGCGATGGCGATGTTGTAGGAGAAGACATTGGGCTCCCGGATCGCGAGGAACGTGTTCCTGGCATCGTCCAGGCTCCCACACTTGGCATACATCTCCACGAGGAGATTCGCGAGGTAACGATTGTCCCTGGCATGCTTGTTCGCGGCGATCTGGGCGTGGATTCGCCTGGCGCTTGCGAGATTCTTGCAAGATTTCACAAGCCTCGCGAGCCGGTCTTGCTCGATGATCGATTCCGACGCGATCTGGCCCTTGTAGACAACCGCATCCACCATTTCTCATTCTCAAACCTTTCCTTCGTTTTTAAAACTATGAAGCGCGCAAAACTATTCCGCGAATATGCGTAGTTCAAATCTCTTTAAATAATCATTCGTGTTAATGATGGATTTAGAGACAATTGTTTATTACATGGTTGAGGAGTAAATCTAGATTCACTTCTTGCCACCCTTCATGCTACATCCATCAATCCATCCTTGTACGAGGAGGAATCTAGGAACAAAAGTGAAAAGTGTTGAGCTTGATAAATGAATTATCGGCCAATCATAGTTATTCACGTCCAGTAGAAGTAGCGATTGAAATATGGCGCCACATCCCACCTATAACGATGTAGGCTAACAAGCCAAGAACGACCAGCCAAATTAATCGCTCCACGAATTTCTCGAGGCTTTCCAAGCGATTCTGAAGGATTAGAATTTGGTGCTGGAGAATTTGTGTTGGATCTGTAAGCGTAACTCCAGTGTCGTGGGTGGAATAAGCATCTTCGAATTGCATAGCGAGGAGATCCTCATCCTCCTCATCCTCATGGATTTCATCCTCCGAATCATCAGTAAAATGATTGTATTCATCGTCCATTTCCTTAGGTTTGATTTGCAAAGAACCCATATATATAGAAAACTACGTGGCAAAAAGAAAAGAAAATATTAGGGCAACCACGTGGAATCCCCGCTGGTGGCGGCGGCGGCGGTGGAGGTAAAATTGGCGGCGGCGGAGCGGCGGAGAGAGGTCGCGTGGGGTGTTGACGATGATGAAGACAATTCTAGGGTTAGGGTTTTGGCGCGGAAGGAGCTCTAGCTATGGCGCGTGAGGGCGCTGCGACGTTCTGGCTCGTGGCGCCGCCGCGGCGCTGGATCGGAATCCGCTGACGACGATGCCAAGGCGGCAGCAGGTGTGTGGCGCAAGAATCGCGACCCGGATCGGGAATTCATGTCGCGGGCCTTGTCGATCTCTCTCCCCCATGGCAAGAGCGCGCGGATTTGCGACAATTCAATGCAGTTCCAGCGCCTGGATGAGCTCCTCAGCCTCCTCCGGAATCTCAAGGCGGGATTGTCGCTGTAGGTGAGAGATCGGGAAGGGTCAAGCCAACGCATGCCCAGAATGGGTGGCTCTTCCAGGGATTCTTACACGAATGTAGATACAGCAGTAGGCACGATTGTATGGGTGAGGCGCAGGAATGGATCGTGGTGGCCGGGGAGAATTATCTCGGACTCCGAGCTCTCTACAGCGAATCTCCTCTCACCCAGATCGGGGACTCCCGTCAAGCTTCTCGGGAGGGAGGACGGCAGCGTGTAAGAACCTACATTTTGCTTTGCCATGCTTGCTTGGATGATCTTTCTTTTCCTTCTGGTTTGGAGGTGCCATCTCCCGGAAAAATTTGATCTTGGATGGTTTTTCGTGGTTTTCTTGGTCGATATTGGATGGTCTTTGGTGCTTTGCTTGTTGAGAATAGTATGGTGGTTCTCACCGTTTGTCTTTACCAGCGATTGGTACAACATCGAGAAATCAAAGAGGGTGAAGCCTTTCCGCTGTGGAGATTTTGAGGAGTGCATCGAGAAGGCCAAGGCTGTAGCAGGATTGCCAACCAAGAAGAGGGAGAAGTATGCACGGCGAGAGGATGCTATTCTCCATGCTTTGGAGTTGGAGAGGCAGCAGCTGGAGTGCTCGTCCGGGTTCGTGGAGTCCTCGGCATACAGAAAGAGGGAACAGTATGACGGGGAGAGGGAAGTAAGCACTGTCGAAGGCACTCGTTCACGCTCACGCTCACGATCACGACGAAAACGGGTGGTAAAACCGATAGTATCAGACGATGACACGGATTCGGGGAATTCTCGAGTTTATCCAGAAGAGGACGATAACTCTGGTGGGCTTTCCTCCTCCGGTAGGGGGCAAGAAGAGCAAGAGTGGAACCCCGACGAGGACGAGGTGGAAGGACTTCGTAGAATGCGGGGATTGCAGGACTTTGGACTTCGAACAGCCGGAAGAGGGAGAAGGTCTGCCAGTGTCTACGATGAGAACATAGAGAATCACCAGAGTTGCGTGACTCAGAGTGGGAAGGGCTCAACATTAAATGGCATTAAAGTTCCATCGTTTACTACAAAGAGGAAGAGAACTGTGGCTGGCGGGGCAGGGGAGGAAGGATCGCTTAGGAAGCGTGACCGCAGGAGGCCGCTTACGCAGGTTTTGGAAAGCAGTGCAAAGTTTCTGTCGGGTGACGGTGAGCTGATGCACATAGTAGACGAGGATGATGCTCTTGTAGAAGGAAACCAGGCTGTAGGGGGGCTGGAGAGGATGGGTGTGGAATTTACTTCTTCAGTCGCCGAAGGTTGCAGAGAGGATTTTTCTAACAATACGACAGGTGTAGCCGACAGGACTTGCTGCAGTTTCTCCGGTCATGCCACCGGTGATTGCTGCGATGGATCTCATCCCTCTGAAGAAGTAAGTCTGAGAGGAAGATTTTTTTTCAGCAATGTGAGTCGCCTCTTTGTCAGCTGTCCGCGATTTCTGACTTGTCCTTTTCAGGAACTATTTGAAAGCGCACGAAGAGGGTACGAAACGGATCACCAGAGGGCGAGACGGTGTTTGAGAAAGCTGCGAGAAGAAGGTTTAGTCTGTCTTTTAGCCGTGAAAAAAGGTGGTGCTGCTGCTAACCAATGAAGTTTTGCGTTTTCCAGGGGCAGCACCGAGAAGGATTCTTGTAAAGCAGGAGCACGACGAAGGTGCGTCGGGTGACACGGAACAGGTTACAGCGAAAAGACCACCCTCGAGGCTCGGACAGATCAAGACCGAGAAGGAAACTGCATGGTACCAGGAGGAATGGCTGGACGTTCCAGTGGAGAAAGACAGCATCGTCCAGAAGCCGTCGGTGCCAATGGTTCTACTAGCGAGCAAACTGACCAGGCGAGCTGTAGTTGGATACCCCGTGGTTGTGGAGGCCATCGAGGGCGGTACGTCTGACGAAGAACAGGATACCTGTTTTAGACAAGAAGGGATTGCTGGAAGCTCTTCTTCGCGGAGAAAGGCCAAGGCGCCACACAAGGAGAGCCTGTCCAAGAGGCTGGTGAAGAAGGTGGTGGCGTCGTCGAGGAAGACGAGGACGCTGTCATCGATCGCGAGCGAGCAGAGGCCCGGTGTACATTTACAGGGGACGGGGATAGGGGTGAATAACACAGGCGGAGGAAGAGCTTGGAACGGACGTGAGTTTGAGGAAGAGAACTGGCCTGTGGCTGCTTGCGTTCCCGTAAGGGTGGCTCTCAGCAGGATCAAGGCAGCAGTGAGTGGACCTCTCGAGACTTGACGACGACGACGACGAACACACTGCTGGACGACAGTGAAGCTACGACTGGAAGAAGAAAAGGGCCTCTCGCTTCCTTTTGTTTCCTGAAAGAAAAGCTTTGTACAGTCGCTTCGAAAGCATGGAGCCCCGGTAAGTTAGAACCTGGTGAGGTGTGTACAATCAATCTGTGCTTCATAGGTTCATGACAACCTTTTTTTTAGAACAGGATAGAGCTTGGATCAACTGACCAAGTTTCTGGGAAACAAAGAAAAAATTCTTTCAGGGGGGTAACATTTGTGAGTGCCAAGAGCTCCGAAAGTTCTTTTTCTATCTTCAAGAGGCATGTACATAGTGTGCTACCACCCCTGGTAACGTAGAACGAAGAGTTCTTTTTTTCCGTGGAAAAACAACGAAACTCTTGAGAATAAAACACTACGTCGCAGTAGTGATCTTCAAAGTTCTCACCTTTATTGCCGCTCTCCTCCAGACTCTATTCGGTAGCTCCATCTTGGTTCATCGTCTCAGTCCCGGCAGCCTTGGCATTTTCTTTGGTTGGAGTCGATGGTGCCAGCGATTCTTTCTTCTCTGCCGGTAAAGCTTCTGGATTTGTTCCTTCGATGGGCTCATTGGTTGGTGGTCTCGCAGCCCTGTTTAGCACCAATCCACCTGCTGTTACTCTATCACCACCGCCACCATCGTGTTCTTGAGCTGGAGTGGCGGTCTTGGTTTCCGGTTGCTCGGGTGTGGAGACGCTCTTCTTGGCTTCGTCTTCTTTGCTTTTCTCGGTGGGAGGAGCGACGCCAGCGCCCTCTGGCACGGGAGGCAAGAGCTCCTGCTCGTCTTCGTTGATGTGCTTGTGAGGCTTGAACGTGACAACGAGATGGATCTCCCCTCGGTTTTTCTCGTCTTGAGGCTTTCGAGGATCTTTGACAAGTTTCACCCACATATCCTTCGGCGTGTTTGGTTCCAGCTGAAAGAAACGGTGTCTCTGTCTGTGAGGAAATGGACGAGTCTTTTTACCTCTCGAATGGGGATCTCCGCAAAGCCAAGAAAATCAGCAGAGTTCATCTGGTCCGAGTCCATCACCCTGAGGTTTAGCTTCTGGGTCTGGGGATCCTCGACCTTCGAAACAGAAACTTAAGCAGTGGAAGAGAATCTAGACTTTGCTTACGTCGACGATAAAGTGCTCGTTCCAAGTGGGATTGCTCGTGTTGCTTTTGGTGGCCGTTCTTTGCATGAGCTCTTGCTTTTGTCGGACGTACACATAGACGAAGGGATCAGACTTGCCGAACGTTTCCTTGTTGAGCAAACGCTTGGCTTCTATGATGTGGACTTCAAGATAAGCGACAGGTCGCATTTCCATAAAGCTGCAACCCAAGGATGGCCAGGATAAGAAAAACAATCCACACAATCTTTCCGGGATACCTGTAGTCGCCGGGAAGTATTGGAATCACCATCCTATTCGGCCAGACAAGCAAATCCATCACCGCGTTCCTTATGATTTCCTGCCAACCAAATCAAAGTTGAAACACAGCTTCAAACCAAAGAAAAGCTTATGCTCACGTCGATCATTCCGTCCAGACCAGGGAGCTGGAGCAGGTCACCGCCGAGGAACTTAGTCTTGAAATCTATGGTAGGCTGTGCATTGAACAAGACATGAGTGATGTCGATGAAAAGGAGCACACTTACAGGTTCTCTCAGCGAAACCACAGCGGCACCAAAGCACGGCAACTGGTCGGTGAGAGGCTTGAGAACAGCTCTCAGAATTCCATAGAAGACAAAGTCTTTCACCTGCGAATCACAACATATATTTCCAAGCGTCACAAAACGAGTCCATTACCTGAACAGTGAAATCCGGTCCAGTTGTCTGTACTTCAAGAGTAAACTTCTGATCTTCACCATGCCTCCAGTCGATTTCAACTTCCACCATTGCTTCGTTCTTCCCTACGCCAGTGAACTTAATGCCTGGTGAAAGAAAGGACAACGATTGAGCTGAGAAAACAAAAAAAAGAAAGAACGCACATACCTCCGATCATAGGAGCAACCTTTCCCAGAGTAACGGACTTTACGTTGAGTTTCTGGATCGGCCCAAACTTGTATTGATCCAGCACTGGTTGGATTTGCATCCTGATCATCTCCGAGGCTGCTTGATCCAAGAAAGGCCAAACTTCTTCGAGCTCCCTGTTGAGCCAAGTAACCTGTAAGTTGGTTTTGTCAAGCACAAAGTGATAGAAGTTCTAATGTGATCGTCCGGTACCTTTTCAAAGTCTGTGATGTTTTGGATCCAGCTTGGCAGTGCCTCGATAGGAAGAAATCTCTTTAGAACCTGAGCATCAGCAATGGAGAGCTGCGCGATTGTCACAGCCTGCGGGAAGAAAGAATTTAAAAACCATCTGGAACGATTGGCCTCACTCTAGAAAGAATTACCTTGTGCATTCGCTTGCGCGTCCGATAGACGCCGAGGTAATGGAAAGCCCCCATGGTTCCCATCCCCATGACGGTCCCGGCGATGATCTGCCCGATGAAAGAAAGCCTGGACACCCAAACCAGACCTCCCCATACCAGCGGCGCCAGCGCCGCGACCGTGGCGATCGCGATCCGCGACCTCTCCTCCCGGATCAGCGTCCATGCCAGATTAGAGCTCGCCTCCATCGCCGCGACAAGAATTCGATCGATCGATCAAAAGATTAAGCTCGAAGAAAATGAGAATCTCTCTTTACTCTCTTTTTGCCATTAACCACGATGGACGGTCGCGATCGCGTCACGGTACTTGCTCGCCATGTGGGCAGCCGTAGGATTGCCACGGATCCACTAGGCCATGCAAACGCGACACGTGTAAAACCTAATTATCCATAACACTGTTTAAACGTAAATGTCCAAAGCGTTGTTTCTACAGTCTTGTAGCCTTCTTTGTAGACGCAAGGTTTTGAGCTGTGGAGTGTCGGCTATGGCGGATCCATCGGCGGCAACCAAGGGCGACGCGACACAAGGTAGGATTTCCATCGAATTATCGATCGGCGTATCGTTTTGACGCGTTCTTGGCGCCAGATGGCCTGAGTCAGCTCGCGCGGAGCATTCTTCCTCACATTCTCAACCTGTAAGTGCGCCATTTCGATTGCTTTCGCTGCCAATCCCTCGAGATTTCATGGTTTTAGATACAATTGCAAGGCGACCGCGGCGGATTTTGATGTCTACGCATCGAATGCCACGTTTGAGGACCCGCTGATGCGCGCAAAAGGGTATCAAGCCATCGCTCTCTCGATCGATCGATTCATTCTATGTGATTTCTTCTTGCGCAGTGTCCCGCAGATCAAATCGGCCTTCTACTCCATTCCCAAGGTAAGAGAAGAGAAGCCATGTCCACAAATTCGAGTGATTCCGCTTCTAACGCATCGATGGATTGGAAGGTGTTTAGCGAGGGACGAATCTCGGACGACTACAGCGTTGTGGAAGAGCCAGAGAATGGAGAGATTCGCATTGACAACGTCCAACACTACAAGTTTCTGGGCCGGCTAATCGACGTGCCGTCACTCATCAAGCTCAAGGTATTAAGAAAAGCTTGAGAAGAATCTCTTCCATTTTCGTCAGAAGAATCTCTCACAGTTTTCGATTCTTTCTTCTTTGATCAGGTCGAGAATGGGAAAGTGATCAGCCACCAAGACTTGTAAGCCATGATCTACTTTGTTTAGAGACTTACTTCGTGTTTTCAGGTGGCATAAGCAGCCATTAAAATCGAGAGACACAGTGAAGCTCCCGCTGGTGGGACGATTGGCCGAATCGGTGAGACGAGGAAACATGATGATCACGCATTTGCTCATGGGTTGCGGCAAAGATCCAGCCACCGCCGCGTAAAAAGACAAGAACAGCTCCAAGCTCTTTGGAGCTTTGTAAAAATGTGAAGATTCTACCATTAATTAATAAGTAAATAAACTGTGAAGCTCTTCCGCGTAAAAACGAAAAAAGTCAACGTGAAATAGTGACAGTAATGTCCTGTCTTTTACAATCCCAGAAAAATTCGGACGTTGAGTATCATTCACAATAGTTCTTCGCTAAAGAATCTTCCACATTCTAACACATTCTAAATGACAATTATAATCGCAAGTATAAATAAGATTTTCTCCTCCATAGCTTCTCAAGCCTAGCAAGCAAGCAAAGATGGTTTTCCAGCTTCTACTTCTTGCTTGCTTGCTCTTCCAGTGCCAAGCGATTCTCGGGTCTCCTACAAAGAAGGTGAGAATGATTTCCAGCGTGCTTAAAGCTTCAAAGTGGAAAAACTTCCAGGCCTATATCGCATATCTGGGAACTAGCAAAGGAGTGGAATCGAGCGAGCTCACCTTGATCCACCATGACATACTTGCCAGAGCTGTTGGAAGGTTTGATCGATTCCTTTTGTGTCTTGGCGACGCTCACGCTTCCGAGAATTTGTTTTGCAGCATCGAGAATGCTCGCTCGTCCATCATCTTCAGCTACAAGTACGCCTTCAGTGGATTCTCGGCGTACCTGACCGAACAAGAGGCCGAAACAATCTCCAGTTAGTCATTGCTTAACACATGAAAAGTACAAACTGATCGTTACCACTGTGTAGGAATGCCTGAGGTCCTCAACATCTATCCCAGCAAAACGCTCCATCCACTGACAACACACTCGTGGGATTTCCTCGGCATGGCCATGCCAGCCAAAAGCAGTCACGCTGGTTCTCCAAGTGCTCCCACTGACGTGATCGTCGGGCTTCTGGACACAGGTAACTTCACAAAACTCACTTGAAAAAGCTCGCTGTGCTTACTTCTTCTGTGCGTAGGAATCTGGCCGGAGTCGGAGAGTTTCAAGGACACCGACATGGGACCTGTGCCAGCTCGTTGGAAAGGAACTTGCGTCAATCCACCAGGCACCAAAGCCAATGAGACTGTCAACTGCAACAAGTACGTGTTAGAGTTTGCCACAAGATTAGACTAAAGTGATGATTGAACTCCTTACCAGGAAGCTCGTTGGAGCCAGATACTATAACGGAGCGAAAGTCTCGACGGGTCCATACAAGAACTCGAGAGACTCGGTTGGACATGGAACTCATACGTCGTCGACAGCTGCTGGAAGCCTGGTTCCACACGCGAGTAAGAGAGGACTCGCTCCTGGCACGGCCCGAGGAGGAGCTCCAAATGCTCGGATCGCCATGTACAAAGTCTGCTGGACGGATAGCTGCGAGGAGGTTGACATCGCTGCGGGTTTCGACGATGCCATCAACGACGGCGTGGATGTCCTGTCCATCTCACTCGGAGGCTATCCCGCAGTTTACAGCGTAGACGTCATTGCGATTGGTGCCTATCACGCCGTTGAAAGAGGGATCATGGTCTCTTGCGCTGGTGGAAACTCTGGACCATTTACTGGATCGGTGTCCAATGGTGCTCCCTGGATCTTCACAGTCGGTGCCAGTACAATCGACAGGGATATCAACGAGGATGCTAAAA